AAAAAAAAAAAAAAAAAAAAAAAAAGAATAATCTTCCTCGAAAGAAAGTAACAGTCGAAAGAAGAAGAAGAAGAAGAAGAAGTTTCACAAGTTTTATCTGTAAATATATTTTAATTAATCATTCTGTTTGTCTCCAATATGATCACATCGATTTTTGAGGATTAAAGCAATAGATCCTCGTATTATAAGATTATAAGAATTCCACGTTCAAAGGTTCTTTATGGCGCCTATGTCCAGGGGTATCGTTGTAAAATACGTTGTTTAATTCATAATTTAATTAAACAGTTAGAGGAGAACCGGTCGTTAAAATGTTAATCATTTCGTCGATGGCGTCAAATTGTCAGACAAAGTTCATCACGGATAATTCGACGCCTAATAAAAAAAACCTTAGTCTTAGAACGTTCGAGTAGTTTTATTACAGAATAATGCAAATTAACGAGTGTCGAAAATATAAATAATATATCGAACGACTCTTGATCTCTGGAAAAAAATAATTCAAATGTTTGAATGGATCATTTTTCTTCAAATAAATTCTTCACATCATCGTATATTTATAGGAATTGAAGAATTTATAGGAATTGTCTTGGAACGTTCGAACTGGTTTTATTGCAGAATAATGCAAATTAACGAGTGTCGATATCGAAAATATAAATAATATATCTAACGACTCTTGATCTCTGGAAGAAGAATAATTCAAATGCTTGAATGGATCATTTTTCTTCAAATAAATTCTTCACATCGTCGTATATTTATAGGAATTGAAGAATTTATAGGAATTGTCTTGGAATGTTCAAGATAAAGTTTTGTTGCAGAATAATGCAAATTAACGAGTATCGATATCAAAAATATAAATAATATATCGAACGATTCTTGATTTCTGGAAAAAAAAATGGATCATTTTTCCTTCTTTCTTCCAAGATTCTTCACCGATCATACCGTCATATATTTATAGGAATTGTCTTGGAACGTTCAAGATAAGATTTTGTTGCAGAATATATATGTATATATCGAAAATATAAATAATATCGACGTCGAACAACTCTTGTTCTCTGGAAAAGGAAGAATTCAAACGCTAGAACGGATCGCTTTTCCCTTCCAACATTCTTCACCTATCTCACCGTCATATATTTATAGGAATTGTCTTGGAACATTTAAGCTAAGGTTTTATTGCAATATAATGCAAATTAACGAGTATCGATATCGAAAATGTAAATAATATCGACGTCGAACAACTCTTGTTCTCTGGAAAAGGAAGAATTCAAACGCTTGAACGGATCTCCTCCCTTCTTCACCGATCACACCGTCGTATATTTCGTATATATATATTTATAGGAATTGAAGAAAAAGGAAGCTTGTGATGGGAAACAGTAGTGAGCCGCAACGGTCGCAAATCGCGCGACTCGGTACCGGTTCCTTAACGAGAGAACGCCACAGGGACAATATTTTCCTGTTTATCAAGATTTAGGCGTTTGAACGCGTATCATCCTATGCGTTCCACGATTCTCTGACAATTGGAAACGAGTTTTTCTGGAAGAACTGCTGCCGTTCCCCGCGGATCTATTTCAGAAGAAGAAATTTCGAAACGTCGAATTAATGAGATTAACCGGGTTTTCAAAATTATGCACGTTTTACTCTTGAAATATTATTAGACCTTGTTCTAACGAGAGATCTCGGTAACAGTACCTCATCAACCGATCGCAACAGGTTTACAGACCGATCTCTATCTATTGTGGATTTACATGATTTGTGGTAAAAAAAAATAACCATTTAACCATTCCTTTGATTGCTCAACTGTTTAAGTAAGATCACTCGATGTAAAAATGTATGGATCGAAGGCCGAATAACGTGTCAAGTAACTAATAAAAAGGAATAATTGATAAAGCACTATCTATCGAATATAGTATAAATTCAATTCATGAATGTAACGGGTACCTGTACACTCGAGTAAATTTAAAATCAAGCGGCACGACTGGCTAACCGTATGTAACCGAATGGAAAGGCTCGACAAGTTACATGTTTGGATTACATTTCATAGTATAGTAGCATTCATTGTTCCTTGCTAAAGGAGAAAGCCGAAGGAAGAGAGTCATTGTACATCTTTCGTCGACTTTTCTTTTTTCGAATACGCAAGATATACGCCATACGTGCGCCGAAAGAGAAAATGCACGATCCTGGTCTATCGCATTATATATTCATCCTGAGGTCTTGACCCTGATCGCTTGAATTTATCTCAACGTTCTACTAATTGCTCGATTCGATTGATATACGGTAGCTGTGTGTCATCGTTCGTTGTGGAGGAACATTTGGAACAGTGTTTTCATTTTCGAAACTTTTTCGCAAATTCTTTTTCGTGTAATCTATTTATATTCGCGTTTGTCCCGTTTCTCGTGCAGAGAACTAGAACTAGGAAGGAGTTGATTCTGAATAATTTAATCGTTGGAGCAAGCGTTTGGAAAGATTCGATTTTTTTTCTTTTATAATTGAATCAGAATGTGGGATTCGTGTTTTTCGAGATTGTTATATAGTTTGGTGGATCTTTCGAAACGTGGTTGATCACATTTGTCAGGATTGTCTCAATTCAGATGAATCCAATTCTTTCTTACCTATAATTCTCAGAAATGAGATAGTGTGTCTTTTCGTTTGGAATTATTAATTCGTCGAATTTTTGAGATAGTGATCGTCACATTTATCCAAATAATCGACAGGAAGAATTGTTGATCGGCCATTCAATAATTGAATGGTTAGAACAGTAAACAAAAGATCCAATTTTGGTTCGAAAATTCTTTCGAAAAAGAATTGCGTTCAGGTCGATATTTCGATGAAATAAGTTGGAATAGAAAAGCAAAAGATCCTATTCCAGTGCAATCTTTTTCTTCTACACGTCGAACATTTGTAAAAAAAAAAAATAATGAAAGATGAACGCTTGAAGTAGCACTTCAGATTCGAAGAAGAATCGCATTCAGATCGATATTTCGATAGAATAGAAAAGCAAAAAATCCTATTTCGGTTCAATCTTTTTCTTCTACACGTCGAACATTTATAAAATAAAAAAAAAAAAATAAAAAATGGAGTGCTGGAAGTAGCACTTCAGAGTGGAAGAAGAATCGCATTCAGATCGATGTTTCGATAGAATAAAAAAAATCCTATTTCGGTTCAATCTTTTTCATCTTTTTCTCCTACACGTTGAACATTTGTAAAAAAAAAATAATGAAAGATGAACGCTTGAAGTAGCACTTCAGAGTGGAAGAAGAATCGCATTCAGATCGATGTTTCGATAGAATAGAAAAAATCCTATTTCGGTTCAATCTTTCTCATCTTTTTCTCCTACACGTCGAACATTTATAAAATAAAAAAAAAAAAATGAAAAATGAAGTGCTCGAACTAGCATTTCAGAGTGGAAGAAGAATCGCATTCAGATCGATGTTTCGATAGAGGCACGCTCCTACTTTCGATCTTAGGATTTACACGAAAGTGTATTCGAAGAAGAGAAATTTGCGGTTAAGTCTTTTCAACGAGAAACCGTTTTCACGGACGACATTGTAACATCATAACGCGGAATCACGATCGCGAAACGTAAATTGCGGCTCGTGTCCATAATGGTTTCACTCTTCACGCGGTTGTAATGTAAAATCTCGATATTTAACATCGACGGGTTCTACGTTTATCCAAAGAAACATAACCGTTCAGAACAGGGTATAATATATGTAATTCGATTAAACATCTTGGTTTTCACAACAACACTTCTATCCTTTGTCTATTTCTGCTTTCACTTTTTTCGTGGCTATAATAAGACGAATTCCTCGAATTCATCGTTGCGAAAGAACTTTCTATATCTATTATATTTTATATTAATTCCGCAACAAACAATTGCATTTCCTAATGTAACGCGTCTCTTTCAAATTGACGATGGCCGATGCAAGTATTTATTAGTAGGAGTCGAAACCTGGTCGAAACCGGTTATCCGAGAGAAGAACACGAGGCTTATTATTATTTTAAAAAAAAACTTAACATTTCCTCTCTCCTTATCGCTCTATCGTTATCATCCTATTATCCATCGTTATCATTTTTATCGACGAAAATTGTATACAATGTATGCACTTGCTCAGTTATTCCGAGAAAAAAATTTCTTTTTTCATTCTTCGTCAAAAATCCATGATCAATCCTTAATTAAATTAGACATCAACGACCCAAAACGGTTCTCGTAAAAATTTCACCTCGTTCAGACAATCAACGACGACAAT